TACGCATGAGTAAACCTTCTTTGTGAACCACACGTGTCACGAGAGTTTCTCTGTCGAACGGGGCAAACCTTACACAGTGTATGTTGGACCATGTGGGGTGGTCGTTCTGAAATGGATGTTCGAATGCATTGGAGCTACAGATCTGCTGCTGTTACTGCATGTTCCAAGTGATGAAAAGGGATCAAGACGGAAGTGCTCATAAACACCCATTGGTCGCTTCCATGACAGATTTAAAAATTTCCTTTGATTTTCTCTGGATGAAGGAACACTGCATGTTTTGCAGAAATATTTGCATTATACACAAACAAACAAGTAGCAAGTGAGCGTAAGCAAAAAATCAAACAAATCATTTAGATGCATACTTTAAAAATGGCTGTTTTTCCTTTGAGGAAATGGCTGCCATACATTATCGATTTGGTTGGTGCTTCCGGTTTTGTCTAAATTATTCTCTCTGCTCTAAGTTATTTGCCCTCAAAGATGCTGTTTTCCAAAAATACCACTTTGGGGGGATTTTTTTTTTTTCTGAATCCCTATAAGGACTGTGAAGACTTTCTAGATTTCAAATCAGATTCCTGTGGCTTCTTTTTTAGAAAAAAATGTGGCCACTTGAAACTATTGTGAACTGAAACCAGCAATTTGCACAGAGGTTGGTTCAAAGTTGCAAGATGGACTTGACTGAAACTGGAGTCACCTTGGGATCCTGAGGTAGTAAGCTGAACTGGGAAGTCATCAAAACCTCCCACAGAAGTGTAGGCCAAACTCTTCTGCATTGTTGCCATGAAAACTGCAGGGACACATCTACATGGTCAGCAGGAGTCCAGTTGGACTTCAGCGTATCATTAATATTGATTGGCTTCCCCAAGGCAGCTTCCTTCAAACACACAAATTGATTCCAAGCTCACCTTTCAAAGGAATCATTCATATCCTTACGAATATGTAATAGGTTTTGGAATTCCACATAAAAAGCTCTGGACAAATGCACTGAGAGAGATCCCTAACTGAGAGAAGTTGAATTTCTCATTCAAACAGGGCTTTTGAGTGTTGCTGTAGACCTTGATACTCAAAAGTGGAGTAGCGAGCTGCATTCAACTCTTTGCAGAGGCTCTCATGTCTTAATGCTGCTGCCCCTTCTTTTCCCCCCACAGACCCCGATGTACACGTCTGGGGATGCCCTGAGCAACGTGGGAGCCACAGAGAAGGTCTTGGAGTACCTTCGCCGGGAGCCGTCCGTCTGCACAGGAGGGACGCTGTCTCCAGAATCCCTCCACGGACACGCCTGCTTCCGAAACGTTTCCTCCCGCTATCCCTCTTGCCCCAACATCCAGGCCTTGAAGGTACCCTGTGGGAAGCTGAAAAGCTCACGGGCTGCTTTGCATGGCACCCTAACAGCACATCATTGCTAACCAGAACCTTTTGTCTTTCGTAAACATTTATAGAATGTTGAGTTTTAAAAGGGCTTTAAAAAACAAAGCACATTTCTGTACTGAACTGGATACAGAGTGTAGGATCTGCATCTGTGTTGATGAACATTGCATATCCCTGCCTCATTTGCGAGCATTTGCCTCCCTTTCCCTAGAAAGTCTCCTTTGAGCTGCGCCCTGGAGAAGCGATGGCACTGGTGGGCCTGAACGGCAGCGGGAAGAGCAGCTGTGTCACCCTCCTGGAGCGCTTCTATGAGCCCCAGTCTGGGGAGGTCCTGCTGGACGGAGTCCCGGTCAGGGATTATGGGCACAAGCATTTCCACAGGCAGGTGAGGGAGGGAGCAGCCTGGTGGGGAGCAGCGGGGGAGGGGCGGGCAGCCTCCAGCTTTCTCCTCTTCTGGACTGAAGCTTTTGGGGCTCTGGGTGCCAGAAGGGCAGTGACGGTCTTCACAGAAGGGGGGTCGTTCAGCAAGGAGGAGAGCGTGGTTGGGAGATGGAGGGGGAAGAAACATTAGGCCATGTGGTTTGGGTGAGACCAACCCAGCATCCATCAGGGTTATTACCTGGGTACCTTTGGGTGGTTGAACGGCTACACTGGGAGATTTTTTGGGGTGGGGGTGCTACAGAGTGGGGAGGACCACATGACATAAGAGGACAAAGTTGGAATTGTTTGGGATTTGGGAGACATTGCAGGTTTCTTTGTGTGCTTGTTTAAAAATACTAATTTTTATTCATACACTGCACTTTTTATGAATTGTGAGCCACAGACCTGGAATTCCCTGGTGGTCTTGTCTGACGCAAGGTGTGGAATCCCTTTCCCCCGGGTTCTGCCCAATAAGACCCCGAAGACGAGAATTGGCTGTTCCTCTTTTTATTGAAGCGCTTCAAGAAAAAGGACTCCATCTCGCTAATGGGAGAAGACCCCCAAGCAAACTTTTACATCTATTTTTATACTTGTTGAAAAACAAAGGGAATAAACATAATTGGTTACATTGAGATAAGAAAATAGGTATAATTGGTTACAATG